GACAACAATCTATATCCCTGCTCATCGACTCATTTTTAACATTGGCTGCCTTTTGAACTGAAGGAAGGCTGGATGCCCAGGAACTTTGTTTCACCTGCTTACTCATCTCCACGTGAACTGAGATGGGATACACAGCTCAGTGGCAGAATGCCTGCTCTGTATTGCAAAAGGCCCCAAGTTCTGTCCTCAGCTTCTCCAGGTATGATTGAGAAAGATTCCTGCCTGAAACCTTGGAGGACCATTGCCTGCCATTGTAGACAATGTAGAGCTAGGTGGACCTATGTAGACTTATGGTCTTACTGAATTCCTATGAGATGCAGGCAATTGGTTGTTTAATCCTCTCTTCAACACTGGGAATAGCAAACCCCCTGGGCTTTGGCCCTTGATTTAACTATTTATTTTGTGCTTCTATCCTGTATTTTTATCTTGTGAACTGCCCCAAGGTCTTCGAATGCAGGGCAGTATAAAGGTAAAGGTAAAGGGACCCCTGACCATTAGGTCCAGTCGTGACCAACTCTGGGGTTGCGGCGCTCATCTCGCTTTATTGGCCGACGGAGCCGGCGTACAGCTTCTGGGTCATGTGACCAGCATGACTAACCCGCTTCTGGCAAACCAGAGCAGCGCACGGAAACACCGTTTACCTTCCCACTGGAGCGGTACCTATTTATCTACTTGCACTTTGATGTGCATTCGAGCTGCTAGGTTGGCAGGAGCTGTGACCGAGCAATGGGAGCTCATCCCATCACGGGGATTCGAACCGCCGACCTTCTGCTTGGCAAGCCCTAGGCTCTGTGGTTTAACCCACAGCGCCACAATAAACAACAACAACAATTTGAAGGGTGGCATTGTGGCTTCTTTTAGTGGGGTAGGGTCTGTAGGTCTGCCTTTTATCTGTTTAGCTGTGTTTTTAGGTTTTTACCGGATGTTCTCAATCCATTTTGATGTTAAGAAGCTTTGGGTTCATCGGTAACACCGGCAGTAAACAACAATGAATAAGTCTCTCTTTCTCTGTGTACACTTTTACGTGGCTTCGTTCAATTCAGATGCTCTATAGACATGTGTAGTGTGTCACGGTGCAACCTGCCTGCTGCCACAATCCCACTGCCTCCACCACTTGCATGAATTATCCCTGGTCCAGTTTGCACTCCAAAAACTGCTTGCATGTTGAGCAAACATGTGTGTGAATGGGCCTCAGCTGGTGAGCAAAGGGGTTGTGATGAGACACCAGAAACTGTACATAAAATATGCCTCTGGATACCAGTTGCTGAAAACCATGGAAGGTGGAGAGTCTGGCCCATAGGCTTCCCAGAGGCACCTGTCTGGCCACTGCGAAAACAGGATGCTGGACTAGCTGAGACACCCGCCTGATCCAGCAGGACTCTTATTATGCTATTACATACACATGTGATTCAGTCCTCCATAACTCTGTTTAATGCCGGGATGGGGGGCATCTGAAGACTGTGTTCCCTTGTGGGCAGCTTCCTGGGAGCCACAGGCCAGTTGGTGGTGTGGCCAGAGGCAAAGGTGGGTGGACTGATCTGCATGACTATTACTTTTGTCCTGTAGTCTATGTTCCAGATGTTCTTACACCTACACATTCACACACACCCTCCATCCAGTAAAACCAGTTACCGTGGTTCAAGGACACCAGACAAATGCATTTGGGGAGGATGCAGAACACGGATGGTTTGCCTTGGAGGAGGCGGGGAGAGCAGGGTGCCCTTGGATAGTCCAAGCGCTGGAAAAAGGGGACTTTGGGGTGGGAAGGCTGCTCTGAGCCTGGGAGACTAGGATGCAGGTTTCTGCTCAGCATGAAACTCACTGGGTGACTTTGGACCAGCTGCCATCTCTCTCTCTCTCTTTTAATAAATGCTTTTATTGGTGTTTCATTTAATACAAACAAAATACAGTAAAATTCAACAATCATTGCCCCACATTCTTTCCCCACACTCTGCTGAGCATTGGCTTCCTTCCCTCCCTTCAACAGGTTTTCTTACGTCAGTTGCTTTTCCACAGTTTCTTATTGTATCCAATCCTATCTACATCATAAGGTTTATTTCCGTCCTGCCAGAGTCTTCAAATTTCTACAGTTATTATTTATGCACTCCATAAATTTACTCCAATCTTTTTGGAATATTGCTTCCTCCTCATTTCGGATTCTACAGGTCAGTTTTGCTAGTTCCTCATATTCAACCATCTTCGTCTGCCGCTCCTCTATTGTTGGTAATTCTGGTACTTTCCATTTTTGGGCTAACAAAGTTCTGGCAGCAGTCGTAGCATACATAAATAACCTTTGACCTGCCTTTTCTATTTCCTCCCCCATCAAGCCTAGCAAGAAAGCTTCCGGCTTTTTCGGGAAAGTGTATTTAAATATCTTTTTCAATTTGTTATAAATCTGTTCCCAAAACTGTTTCATTTTCTCTCATGTCCACCGGACCAGCTGCCGTCTCTCAATCCAACCTACCTCAAAGGGTTGTTTTGAGGATTAAACGGGAAGTGGCCAAAATCATGTGCATTCCCTTGAGCTCCTTGGAGCAAAATACAAGTGCAATAATAAATATAGTTCAATTTAAATAAAACTGGAAGGAGATGTGGGAGGGGAGCCACTAGTACCGCAGGAGATATTGCGAGTGCAGTTGTGGGTAGCGGGGAAATGGTTCTGGGTATCAAATGCACCTCAGACTCCTTTCGAGCGTGGCTTATTGTACAGTGGTACCTCGGGTTAAGTACTTAATTAGTTCCGGAGGTCCGTGCTTAACCTGATACTGTTCTTAACCTGAAGCACCACTTTAGCTAATGCGGCCTCCCACTGCTGCCACGCCGCTGGAGCACGATTTCTGTTCTCATCCTGAAGCAAAGTTCTTAACCTGAAGCACTTTTTCTGGGTTAGCGGAGTCTGTAACCTGAAGCGTATGTAACCCGAGGTACCACTGTATAGCAAATGGGGCCTGCAGCAAGATGCTGCAACATGGAATGTTGCAGCGCAGAATGCGTTCTGGTTATGTTCTCCTTCTACTGTTGAAGGCAGTGTGGCTCTGAGCACCAGCTGTGGGGAATCGCAAGTGCTGTTGTGCTTGCAGGGTTCCCAAGAGGCTTCTAGTTGGCCACTGTGAGAATGGGATGCTGGACGAGAAGGTGACCCACTGGCCTGATCCAAGCCTCTTCTTCTGTTATGTCCCTACTTAGGTTGACTGACAGCTAGCCAGCTATGCTCTATTGCATTGCACCTCCCTGCCACCCAACAACCACCAGGCAGAGCCCACCAAGCTTGTCCAATCATAACTGCCCTGTTTTTGGGCACCCCATTACAATCTCTATAGTTTATTTTTGCCAACAAAGGTCCGTATAGTTAAAGCTATGGTTTTCCCAGGAGTGATGTATGGAAGTGAGAGCTGGACCATAAAGAAGGCTGATCGCCGAAGAATTGATGCTTTTGAATTATGGTGCTGGAGGAGACTCTTGAGAGCCCCATGGACTGCAAGAAGATCAAACCTATCCAATCTGAAGGAAATCAGCCCTGAGAGCTCACTGGAAGACAGATCCTGAAGCTGAGACACCAATACTTTGTCCACCTCATGAGAAGAGAAGACTCCCTGGAAAAGACCCTGATGTTGAGAAAGATGGAGGGCACAAGGAGAAGGGGATGACAAAGGACGAGATGGTTGGACAGTGTTCTTGAAGCTAGCAGCAGGAGTTTGACCAAACTGCGGGAGGCAGTGGAAGACAGGAGTGCCTGGCGTGCTCTGGTCCATGGGGTCACGAAGAGTCGGACACGACTAAACGACTAATCAAGAACAACATAGTTTGTTTTTGTCCTGCTGCAAACCTTAGGTTCTCCCAGGCTTTCTGATAGCTACCTCCCTTATGTGGGCGTCACGGCGCCGTTTTGGCTACCTGGAGACCCGCACTCTCGCTTTAGCTTCTTCCTGGCAAGGGGAACGTGCGCGGGGAAAGTCCAGGGTGGAGTCTCCCCTTTTAAAAAAACTCACCTTTCCCCCTCTCCCCTCCTTATGCTTTAAGGAGCCACCCTCGGCTTCTGCCAAACCTGTTGAGCAGTTGCTCCCCGCCCGGTGACAAAACTTTTCAGCGCGCACCTGGCAGCAGCTGGGGAGGAGGCGGTGGCGGCTGCAGAAACGCGCAGCGCAGAACAGGTTTGACTCTCCCTCTTTTCTTTCTCTCTCTCTCGCTGCTGACGTTTACACCGCCCCAGATGATGATCGCTTTGGGAGAACAACAACAAAAAGGAAAGAAAGGAGCCTCGCGCCGACATCATCGCCCAACCAACCCACCCACTTGGCTTGCTGTCGTTGCAAAGGCCGCCTGGAAAAACAGGTCGTGGCAGGGGCGAGGGCCGCATTCTTGACTTCTGCTGCAGGGGACGGCGAAGGAGTGGGGCAGGTATATAAGGCGGGGCAGGTAGAGGTGCCTGAGCGCAGATCGGGACGGAGACGCTGCTGCTGCTATGTGCCTACCTGCCTACCTTTCTACCTGCCTCCACCGGGAGTCGGCGGCGAGCGAGAAGACAGCACTGGCCACACACACACACACAGGCACACAGACAAAAACTTTTGCTTTCCTGGCACCTCGTGGCTCCAGCTCCGCTTTAGTGTCCCATGAGGATAATGGCATTTAAGGTGCTCAGTTTGCATCCAAGCTGGAACCCCCGCACGCTCCTCTTGCCTCTCCAGCCCTTCCTAATTACGCAGGAATTGGGCGCAGAGATTTTATTTCCTCCCCCTTTCCAAGGATCTGCTTGGACACCTCGTAAGTGGTTTTGTCTGCAAACCGCGCAACAAGCTTGGGGAGGGGGTAGGAGGGTGAGATCAAAGGGGATTTGTCTTTGGCCTGTCTGTGCTTTCTCTCCCCCCTCTTTTGACTTTGTTGTCTTTTTCTCTCGCTTTTGTTTTGTCCGGCTTAAGCAGGTCTCCGGAGATGCAGCAGGCGGGTGGGGACACCAGACGACTCCTCCCGACCACCCCTCCTCTCCAAATGATATCTAAGCCTGCTGGGTGCAGTGGTTCTTAACAGTTCAACAGTTCTGTAGCATAATTGTGAAATGTTTAGGACCACTTGACCCGGGCGGCCTGAGCATCGCCAGCTGGAAAAGGAGGAGGAGGAGGAGGAACTTGCTCTGTGGACTTCAGGCTGCAATCACGGGGGGAAGAGTTTCATTTCGAGGGAGGGGGACACACCGACCGGGGAAAGGACACCATCCGACAGCCACCGGCAAAGGCATCCCACTGAACGTGGCGAAGCTGCCCTAGAGAGGAGAAATTCAGGACGGGGTTTGGTTTTCTTTTAACCCATCCCTCAAAATTTGTAATCAGTGGAGTAAGCGAACAAGCAAAGAAACTGGGCTTTCCTTTCAGATTTAATAGGAAGCGAATCATGCTGCACTCAGGGATTGAAAATCAGCTTTAAGGGTGTTTTTAAAAATAAGTTTCTAGCCCTCATGGATGTCAGTTCTATAATATGGAGTAGGATAGGTGTAAGACACTCTATGAGAATAATTCCGCTGGTTAGTAAGTTAACAGTTGTGACAGGTTGTTGTCAAATGGGTGAGAAATAGAAAGAGTGCGAGATTGGGAGGGGGGAGGGAGAGACGAGATGAGGACAAAAAGTCCTGTTGGAACAATTTGGGCTGGTGCAGAGTCGGTGAGCAAGCCGTCAAGTCCCACAGGTAATTCCGGTCTATATCGAAAGGAAGGTGTGTTCGCCTGGGCGTATAGGACCAGTTCCCACACGCACCTTTGTGTGTGCCAACAGATTGGTTCAATGGCTGCCAAAATAAAAGCAGATAAATCATTTTGCGTTTGCAGAATGATGACACCTGCTCCTCCCCTCCCAGTTGCCTCCATGGCAAAAGTCACTAAGACCTCCTTTGGAAGGAAGGAATTTGAGGACTACAGCCTCAAACGCTACTTACCCTAGAACAGTTTCTTGTACGTCAGCCGGTTTCAGTGGAACTGCTTCAGGGTAAGTGCGTGTCAAAAGTCTCCCAGGGCACTTGCCTGAGAACATTCCATAGGACTGGAATCCTGCGTTCTCGGAGCTGCTAAGTTTATTTAAGCTGCCCTCCGATGATGACCTGATGGTTTGCTCCAGATTGACACCGAAGCCAGTGCAGGATTAGTGTACAGGAGATCACAGCTGCTTAATCATTAATAGCTGAGCCCTAACCATGTTGACACAGGAGTAAGCCCCACTGATTTCTGCGTAGTGCTTCTAGGTAAGCACCCTTTGAATGGCAACCTTAGGTTAATTGGCTGGCCTGTCCGAAAAACAACAACTGTGGGGAAACCTTTTAAAAATGTGTTTGTGTTGTAAGACGCTAAACTCCACTAATGATTGGGACAGAATATTTAGGATGTATGTTAGAACCAAATAAATGTTTTGCTGCTGGTTTCTCGTGCTAAAAACTTTATATTTTATTCTTGTCTGTTTATTTTCTATCACAATTGCATAGTTTAAACAATAACAATACCTTGAGCAAATGCATGAACATTGTATGAAAGGTAACAACCTTATGACATGTCTTCTCCCTTGTTTTGGTCCTGTATTTAAAATACAGATATGTAATGCTCTTGGCTGTAGCGAATTCACACATGTCCCATTTTAAAAGTGAGTAACGAGAGAATCCAAATTCCCAAAGAAAACTTGCTTATTTCAATTTCCATAAGGGGTAGTTGTGCGAGTCTTTTGCAGCAAGAAGCTACAAAGTAGGTATTGCAGAAACTAACAAATTTATTACAGTACAAGTTGTTGTGGATTACAGTCCATTTCGTCAGATTTAGAAAGTATTATCCTGCATTGCAGGTACGTATATACATGGTTGAGTGTTGGGTTGGGGATGCCTTGTGAACAGCGATGTCAAAAGCAAATGCAATACAGAATAATTCAGACGATGGTAACTGTCTTACTAGCAGTGACCATTCACAAAAAGACCCAGTAATTAGTAACATAGGCGGCCATTGGTAAGCCAATGAACACATACCGTGTGATAAAAAATCCATTAAAAATCTTTTAGATGCCACAAGATTCTTTGTTGCTCTTCTTTATTATAGTGCAATGCCCTGCCAAGTGGGAAGAGAATATTCCTCCCCTCCCTCTGTTCTTCCAGCTTTTTGAGCAGGTGGAAAGGTGTGTCGGTGGGGGGGGGGGGACATTCTGCTCACCCCTTGGCAGAAGGCTAAACATGGACAGACTGGCCAAATAGCTTTGCACGGAACGCTGTAGTAAGTTTCCAGTTGATGAATGGTTGTCTGAAGTCACAGGCCTTAAATCAAGGCTTGCACAACCTGTGGCCAACCGAGCCAAACACAATCCACTAAACTAACTCCCCTCCCCTTTGCTGCTTATATTGCCTGCCTGGAGCTGAGGGGGGCTGCCAATCACCTGTCAGGTCACTATATATATTGCATTTGCTATGGTGACTCACAATCTGTGCAGTGCCCACTTGAAACGCATGCCGAGAGTTTTCTAAACTTGCAGAACCATCCAGGGCCTGCCAGAGCTTAAATGTGCAGCACAATCCTATGGCTATGTACTCAGAAGTGAATCTTATGTCTCCAGTGGGGTTTCTTCCTAGATAAGAATGCAAAGGTTTTCAGCCTTGGAGTGGTTTCAACAACCATCCTGTCTCCCTAGGGAATCTGGAATTCTTTTTTGTGGGGAGTGAATGATTTTTAACTGGAGAGTCTCAGCACCCTCACCAAATTACAATTTCCAAAGTTCTTTGAGGGATAGGTTTGTGTAAATAATGTGCTTTTACCTTAGGAAGTCAGCACAGATGATGTAAGAAACAAACGAGTTTTTTTACCTGCTGGCTGAAATCTCCCCAATAGGGGTGCAATTCTGCCTAATTTCCCTAGGAATAATTTCCACTGGAAACAATGGGACTTAATTCTCAGTAAAAATGCAAAAGCTTGCACTATAGAGCATCTTCCAGATAATTATGTACAAGGCTACCCCTTGCAATTCAATGCAGTCTGATGATAAAATCTGGGGGAAGGCAGGGCTAATGGAACTCTGTGCAGGAACAAAGCAGTATAGGACTACAGCTGGGACCCTATACTCCCTTAACTGGGAGAAATCCTCACTGAAATCGGTGGGAATAGCTTCTGCTTTACTTATTTATTTTTGGGAGGGAATCCACATTGAAGTACAGGTTTTAAAATGTCTTCATGCAAAGTATCGATTTCTAGACATGCTTTCACTAAAAGTACAGAAATGGCGTCCCGACATTTGGAGAAGTATGAAATTCAGTGAGTGGTTGCCTATTTCACGATGTGATAATTTTATGTAACAATTTTCTTGTACGCTGCCATTTTTAAATAAATAAATAAATTCCAACACCCACCTGACTCTCAAAGACTTAATTCCCTTCAAGTCACTGGGCACAGTCCTCAAGCTACTTTCATCAAAGCAGGTTGAATTGAAGCCAGTGGAATGACTCCTCAGTAAGCAATTTTAACTGTGCCAGTTTAATAGTTGCTGAATGGAAGCCCTGCTTGCCCAAGGAGTACTCAGGAGTGCACTTTAAGGCTCCCCGTTGTTCCTTCGCAGTCATTTCCTTACCTTACAATCATGTTCGGGATGAGCAGATCTGTTCATTTCAATTTCTTTCTCTTCCTCCAGCCTTCAGCTCCATTTCCCACATTTCCACACCGGTTTGTGATTTTTTTATTTTTAAAGTAGTTCTTATTAAAATTCACCAGCCTTTTAGTACACAATTCTCCTAAAATGCACGTCTCCTAAAATGCATGTTTTGTATGCAATTTCCTAGAATATACACATGTTTGCAAAGCAATGTATCCCAATGCAGTACCTTTCTTCGTGCTATTTTCATGAATTCATGCATTTTAACACTTTTTTTTTACCTGAACACGTGCATTTGTGCACACGTTACCTGACTTGAAAACTGCAAGGCAAATTTTAGAGAAGTGTGCATTTCAAATGACGTTTCAGTCCATGTTTCAAAAGTGAAGATTAGGTAGGTTTGCCTAGAATATGAACTGAATTGAATTTCTGCCCTATAGCTACGTCATATGATGTCAGGTATCAGGCAGGTGGCTGTGGCTTGAGGAAACTGGCCCTGTGGAACCCTTGCGAGGACTAATTTGGCTTGGAAGCTGGAGGTACATGGATATAGGGTTCCCCATCTCCTCTCCTCCTCCTCCTCTTTTTCTTCTTTTGCAATATACTTTTTTAGAGGAATAAAAACATTCCTTTATCCTGCCTAAGAGATATTAGCTTACACAACAGATCTGTTGGCCTCCATCTCTCTCGGGAGACAATGGAGGACTGCACCTTTGGAGGTGAAGTCAAATTGTTGGAAGGTTGCGGCACCTGCTGTGGCTGTAGTGACCGACGCAGGAGAGACATGTTTTGTTGCAGCTGGGGCAGATGAAGGCTTCTGGCAGATCATTACTGAAAATATACATGTTCCACATTTTAATGCAAAAGCGGCAAATATCTTTGCTAAGACTTGGGCATAAGGTTAAGCGTTTGGGGGCGGGAAGCCTTTGATTTCAGTAGGCAAGCATAAGCACTTAGCTGGATCATGCCCATGAAGTGTCTATGGATCTTTAAATTTTGTAGATATAAAGGAACACTTTGTTGATAGAATCATAGATTTGTAGAGTGGGAAGCCGCCATGAGGCTCATTAATAATAATAATAATAATAATAATAATATATTTATACCCCGCCCATCTGGCTGAGTTTCCCCAGCCACTCTGGGCGGCTTCCAATCGAGTGTTAAAAACAATGCAGCAATCTAGTCCAAAACCCTGAAATGCAGGAATCTTTTGCCCAACACAGGGATCGAACCCACAATCCTGGGATTAAGAGCCTCATGCTCTACAGACTGAGTCACAAAGTGAATACCAAGAGTAAAGTGTGTGAACAAATCCAAGTCAGCAGCCTGGTTTCCCCAAAAGCATTTTCCCCCTCCTAAAAGACCTGTGCCAGCTGGTCTGGAAGATCACGATGTCTGTGGAACAGGCTGCTTGGAACAGGTCATGCCACTACGCTGTCTCACATCAAAAACAGGTTAGGTGAGGTTAACAATGGCATAATGAGTTTAATTTTGCTGGGAGTCACCATAGGGTGGCCCGCTAGCTGTATTTCTCAAGCTCTGTAGCAGGCTGAAACAAGCCCAGTGAAATTGAGGAAAACACACAGTAGTTTTTTCCTTCTTTTCCGGGGGTTTGGCAAAGAGAAAGACGCACATGTTAGCATTCCTGACAGCTTCTTAATTGTCCATGATGAAAACATGGAAATGATCTTGCATGGGAAAGGGGAGAGGAGGAATCGGCCCGCTTCAAGAATCTCACAACCTTGCTGATTTCTTAATACAGTGGCTGCCTCCGAGTGCCTCCTAGGTTAGTTAATTAATTACGCTCCTAACTTCTAAGAGCTACACAGGGATTCAAACATCCCTGGTTGCAGGCTTACAGTCTAATAGACATGATGCAAAAGGGGACGGGCGGGTGGGGGGGGGAGAGAGAGAAAATGGGAAGAAAATGGAGAAATGCTTTAATCTAGTTACTAATTCTTACCCATTATATAATAGTTAAAATGACCAGATGGGATGGCACCTTTGCATGCAGCATATCCCAGGTTCAGTCCCTGACATCTTCGTTTCGGCTGAGAATATCCCGTGTCTGAAATTTAGGAGAGCTCCTGTCTGTCAATGTCAGAACATGGAGCCATGTTCTGATCTTGATATAAGGCAGCTTCGCATGCTCCCTATGGAGGGAGACAGTTCTGGGTGGGGACAGGAGCGGAGGAAGGGGTGTGCGGTGGGGGTGGACCGCCCCAGGTGTCTTCGCTGAGGGGGGTGACATTAGCTCGTCGCCTGCCCGCGACTCCCAAGCCTACCCCAAGCCTTCGGGGGAAGGGGGGAGCTGCACCACTTTGCCGGCAGCATTCCCCGCTTCCCCCTTCGTTTTGACAGTGTGATGGCCTGGGATTTGGACTCGGATGCTGAACCTGAGGGATCCCAGCCTGCACAGGATTCCCCGCCTCCAGAACCAGCTGAGCCGGGGCTGGGGCATGAGCCTGAAGGGTCCTCACCTGTGCTGGATCCTCAGGTGCAGGCATCAGCTGAGTCTGCTCTGGCTCATGAGGTGATGGAGGACCCATTGCCTGCAGGTGCTCCACTCTCAGCCCTGCCAGGGGAAGCTGAGGTTGCCTCTGGGTCCGGTAACCCTCCAGCCTCTCCTGAGCTGCAGAGGCTCAGGGCAGAGAGGAGGAGGGAACTAAGTTCCCACAAGAGGAGTGCTCTCCTCCAGGCCAGGAGAGGTGAGTCACCAGAGGATTGGGGCCCTTCTATTCCTCAGGGCAGATAAAAGCTGGCCAGCCCCAGTTCCAAGTTGCGGGAGCAATATTGTTGGTTGCTAGTTCCTGCCTGAACCCTGTCCTGCTTTCCTGCCTGAGCTCCTGACTCGCCCTGGCTCCCTGCTTGCATGCCTGTTCCTGACTTCGCCCGACTCCCTGCCCTGCACCCAGCTTCAGCTACTCTGGACTGCCTCCACGTTGCACCTTTGACCACAGACCGGACTTGGACCTCGCCTCTTGGGTAACCCACAGGACCAGCACATACAGCTTGGGAGAGGTTTGGGAGTCGCGGGCGGGCGGCATGCCGAAGGCCCACCATGGGCGGCTCGCTCCGCCCTTGTGGGTGGCTTGCTCCACCCCTGGCTGCAGGGCACACACACCACTCCATGCACCTGAGCAGCTATCCCATGCCTGGGAGGGCACCCTCTGCCCCCCGCCCCCCTCAGGAGTGCACCCGCCCTGGGCAGCGTGGGCATATGCTCTGCCGCTGGGTGGGGAAGAGCCAAGTGGCAGCTGGACCCTGCTGTTCAGGGCCGGTCCTACCATTGGATCAAGGGAAGCGGCTGCTTCAGGTGGCAGGTGCTGGTTGACTGGAAGAGTCGCAAGGTGCTGTCAGATAGAGCTATGCCTAGTGCTAACCCTGTCCTTCATCCCCTAAGTGTTTACTCCCAAGAGCAGCAGAAAATGGGGTCATTGTACATGGAATGAATGGATTGGGCACCATTTTGTCCCTCACCTCAGGCAGCAGAATGCCTTGATCAGGTCTTGCCTCTGCCTCTCCTTCTTCGGCACGTGGCCGGGTGGAATGGCTACTACCCGCATGTCATCTTGCACACATGTGAAACGCAGAAGATGCCAATGTCCTCTCCTCTCTCAAGTTGTGCTTGATGGTGATCTGTAAACCATCACTGAAATATTCCCACCCAACTCTGACCCACTACCAGCTCTTACTGTTTCGACATCTGGTACTTCTCCAGCACTGGTTGTTGTTTTGTGTGTGTGTGTGTGTGTGTGTGTGTGGGTTTGAATTATCACACCCCCTCCTAAAAACAAAACAAAACAAAACAAAACACAAAGCTTTGACAGTGTGAGAAGCAGCTTTAAGAGCACAGAGGGTGCTAAAATTAGAAATAATTCTCTGACGTTTTTATGGCAGCCCTACGTGAAGAGTTTTCCTTTCCTCTTCCATAAGCGGTTTAACCTTCACGGCATCATAAAGTAGATCTGGAGTCTTTGGGATGACAAGGAGAAATAAATCTAAAAATAATGTTTAGTTACCACATTTCATGCGCTGGACAGCTTTAGGGATGGGGTGGGGGGAAACCCCTCATCAAATGTTACATGTTGCAGTCACATGTCCAATGTGTTAAGATCTTTTTCAATTTTTTTTTTTTTAAAGGATGGACTAAAACCAATTTGCCATCAACTGTTTAATGAATTAATAGCCTTGTTGATGATAATGGCAGCTTTGCCCATGCATGTCTAGAAGACCGACTGGGGATAGAAGAGAACTTAAGAACCTCCCTGTTGCAACAGTCTGGAGACCTGAGGCATTAGACCTTTGCGCAATGGCACGCTCCCCTCCTGAGGTTTCCAGCAACTGGTATTCAGAAGTATATTGCCTCCTGCTGTGGAGTGGAGTTAGTCCGCCATCTTATTTCCAGCAGCGACCAACCAAATGCCTTAAGGAAGCCCACAAGCCCTCTTCCGTTGTTGCTCCTGAGAGGGAGGTAGTCCATGTGAGAAGCAGCCTCTGCTAGAAGCCAACTCCTATGGACTGAGGTCCCTTTGGCCTCCCCATAAAATATTTGAGCCCCCTCCCCAGTTAATGGGCATTGCCATTCAAATGGTGTGTGTGTGAGCAGTGTCTTGGGATCAGTAAAGTGGGATAGTGCTTACCTGGGGCCCCCAACATTTTATTCAAGTTGGCACCCCTGCTGCCTCTGAACCTAGAGAGGGTTTCCCAAACTTTGGTCTCTGGCTATTTCTGGACTACAGTTCCCATCATCCCTGCCCACTGGTCCTGCTAGCTAGGGATGGTGGGAGTTGTAGTCCAACAACAGGTGGAGATCCAAGTTTGGGAGACCTTGACCTAGAGCAAGAGTAGTTTACATGGTGCTTTCCGGATATCATTGGCCTACAACTCCCATCAGCCACCTTGAGTCCCATCAGGGCGAGAAGCAAGGCATTGTTGACACCTGTCTGTCTTGTGAGACAATGGAGGAGTGTGCCTTTGGGGGTGAAGTCAAGATGTTGGAAGGTTGCAGTGCCTCCTGTGGCTGTAGAGACCGATGCAGGAGAGACATGTTTTGTTGCAGCCGGGGCAGATGAAGGAGCCCATTCGTGTTGCTGCAGATGCCCCATGGCCGTTTTTCTCTCTGGGCTCCTCCCAGCAGTCATTCCTCCTCTAGTCACTGCTGTGGATACACAACTCAGCTGTCTGTTTCCAGGCAATGCAGTCGTCTGCAAGGGATTCCCACACAGCAGGGTTAATGTTGCCCGCATCTACATTTTGTGAAAAGATTGTATACGGAAAGTAGTTGGGCAATGGTGACTGAAAGAGCACATGGATTGAAGACTGACACGATGTTTTTCATGGCTCGATAATTACTGAAGGAAACCTCTTTATGGGTCCATGGAGTCACATTTGTGAGATAAAACTGATATCACAGAAACCAAAATTAATGGAGCGCCATTGTATTATCTCCTAAAATTACAGGCTTGTGTATCAGTGTTCCACCTGACACCAGGCCAGATGTGGTAGGTTGACTTTGCGTTGGGCAAGGACTGAGAGTCCCAAACACCTCGTAAAATCCCGACATGTCTTCAGAGAGTAGCTTATAAAGTGGCTTGCATTCCTTACAAATTGATGAGCTAGGTATCTCACCAGAGAAATGGGAACACCCACAGACTCAAAGTCAAAAACTGGAATATGTAGAACGCAATTGTTTAGAAAATGGCCAGCATCTTTGTTAACAATGAATTCTGAAGAGTAATAAGTCCTGTTCTAATTGAATATTCCAATTCCTAACTAATAACCAACATATTTGACTTAAGCTGCTATGTCGTGTACACTACAATGCACTATTTGGGCGGCTGCCCTTGAAAATGGTTTGAATGCTATAATACTCGACAGGACCGGCCCATGCATGAGGCAAGGTGAAGCGACTGCCTTGGGCGGCAGGATCCACAAGGGCAGCAAATTGTCACAAAATAGCCAGCAAACTTTTGGGTCCACCAGAGCTCTTCATCAGACCCCATGTTAAGCAAAGGACGGTGGGGAAAAGGCTTGGAACTGAAGCCACAGTGTCTAAAAATTGGTCAAAATTTCATTTTTGTTGTGTAATCTTAAGAAGGGGCATGGCTATCCAGGGTGGAGAGTTGTCTGTCCAGGTATGAGAGTTGTCAAGGACAGTGTTTAAGTTTCAGAATTTACCATTGCACTACTGATTTGGGGATTTTTGAAAGCATGGGCATAGAACAATGGTTCTCAAACTTTTTAAAAAATCTGGGCCACACTTTCAGAACTTGCTCGCACCGCAATGCAATCCTGTCTGTCTATCTCTACTCATGGATAAGCCCCACTGAGTTCAATGGGAATAAGAGTCAAACTGCAAAGTATGTTTGAATCTGGATAGCTCAGTTAGTTAGAGCATGGTGCTGATAGCGTCAGGGTTGCAGGTTTGATCCCTGTGTGGGACAGCTGCATATTCCTGCATTGCAGGGGGTTGGAATAGATGATCCTTAGTGTCTCTTCCAACTCTACAATTCTATGAAACATACCTGTGGAGCACCATTTTTTTTAATTGATAAGAAATACAGTGGTACCTCTGGTTACATACGCTTCATGTTACAGACTCTGCTAACCCAGAAATAGTACCTCGGGTTAAGAACTTTGCTTCAGGATGAGAACAGAAATCTGTTCTCCGTGCTCCAGCAGCGTGGCGGCAGCAGGAGGCCCCATTAGCTAAAGTGGTGCTTCAGGTTAAGAACAGTTTCAGGTTAAGAACAGACCTCCAGAACGAATTAAGTACGTAACCCGAGGTACCACTGTACATTGCAAAGCACAGCTGAGGATTGTTCTCGTTATCATTTGACGCTCTTGTTGTCATTTTGAAAAAGATACCTATCCGCATTCTGCAAATAAAAAAATATATTTTGATATTGTGCTATACTATAGTATGCTGAAATCTTTCAATGCGTCTTTGATTGTCCTTGAATCATCCTGCCACACTTGCCTTCATCTCCTGCGACACCCTTTGAGAACCACTAGTATAGGACATACTTAGAGCACCATTTACCAAAAATACAGTCTACATGAGGGATGGGGCAACTTGTGGCTCTCCAGATGTTGATGGTCTCCATCGCTCACTATCCCTGCCTGTTGGCCATGATGTTGGCTGGGGATGATGGGAGCCGGAATCTAAGAACATCTGGAAGGCTTCAGCTCAGTTGGTTAGAGTGTGGTGCTTATAACACCAAGGTTGCAGGTTCGATCCCCGTTAAGGGCCAGCTGCATATTCCTGCAGTGCAGGGGGTTGGACTAGATGACCCCCAGGGTCCCTTCCAACTCTACAATTCTATGGTTTTGGATTCCAACTTAATTCTGTGTTTTCAACCACCAACTCTGGAATAGGAATAGAAGGTACCCCACCCATTCTACAATATCAGAAACACTTAGACATGTTTGATGCATTACTGTATTTTAATATTTTGTTGGAAGCCGCCCAGAGTGGCTGGGGAAGCCCAGCCAGATGAGCAGGGTATAAATAATAAATTATTATATTATTATTAGACATCTCTCTCTCTCTCTCCCCCTCCCTCATTCAGTTATGCATCTGAAGCTATCTACAGACAACCTTTCCATCCTAAAAATACGTGTATGTAATATAGACAATTCAAGGTCAGTTAAAACAAAAGCTCCTTAATGTATCTCATTCCAACCCCCCCCCCTCACGACATCCGTTTTTGGCTGCATAGCGCCACCTGCTGATAAATGAGTGTTAGATACACCACAATGGACTGAAGGAGACTTAACGGCGTTGCATTTGCTCTCCCTTCTCTGTTGCATCTTCCCTTGGAGGAAACTGGAAGTTTTCCTGCCCAGCTTTCCAAATTAACAGCAATGATGAGACAAAAGAAACTTCCTTGCTGTAAATCCTTGACTCTTGCTTGGGAAGTAATTGCATAATGCACATTTTTATTTACTTGTTGCAATTTCATAGAATCATAGAATTGTAGGGTTGGAAGCTATGCTGAGGATCATCTAATCCGTAATATCAAGCAGCAATGAGGGAAAGTAGGGATGCATCTAAGACAATGAGCAGGAAGTTAACTTTGGGGGGGGGATTGTATTAAATTTGATGTAATTTGACATCGATTTGTCAAAAATTTGGAAAACTAATAATATTTTTTGGCAAAAAAGAAAGACCATCTCGTCCAACCCTCTGCAATGCAGTAATATGCAGCTGACCCATATGGTGATTGAACCCACAACCCTGACATTATTAGCATTGTGCTCTAATTAACTGCCAAGCAGTATATAAATTTTATAAAATAAATATACTAGAGGTTAAGAACACAAGAAGAGCTCTGCTGGACCAGCCAATGGCCCATCTAGTCCAGAATCCTGTTCCACAGGGGCCAACCAGGTGCCTGTAGGAAACTCGAACGCAGGACCCAAGCACAAGAGCACCCTGTCGCCACCACCCCCCCTGCCACCTTCCAGCAACTGGTATTCAGAAGCATAAGTGTGGTAGCCTGGCTTCCTGAAGAATAATGTAGCTGCCTATCTGGATTTTGACCTTTAATTTAAAAACAGAGAAATGTCATCTCACTAGCCTATAAGGAAAAACACAGTTGCAGTAATCTGCCTATCTGCTCACGGATATAATTCAATCACTTTAAACATATCGAATTGCCTGTATTTATGCTCTGGCTGTTCTGCAATGATTCCCTGCCCGCTTCAGCTCTCGAAACAATTAGCAACGAAGGAAGCTGCCTTATATGGAGGGGGGCAACTAGACCATCTCGCTCAGTATGGTCTACACGGACTGGCAGCAGCTCTCCGGGATTTCAGTCTGGGGTCTTTCCCCAACCAACTTGGAGGTGTCAGAGAATAAATATGCATATTTCTGCATGTAAAGCAGAGACTTTGCCACTGACCTTGGCCCATCCTTTAAATCTGCAACCCTTACCCTGCTTAAACGTAACGGGACCCCCGTTACAAAGTCACCCTGAAAAGTATCACAATTCTTATCAAAAGCGATTACGCTGTTCTCAAAATACCTACATGTATTTTCTTCCCTGAAAGGTAAAGGTAACGGGACCCCTGACCATTAGGTCCAGTCGTGGACGACTCTGGGGTTGCGGCGCTCATCTTGCTTTATTGGCCGAGGGACCCGAAGTACAGCTTCTGGGTCGTGTGGCCAGCATGACTAAGCCGCTTCTGGCGAACCAGAGCAGCGCACAGAAACACCGTTTACCTTCCCGCTGGAGTGGTACCTATTTATCTACTTGCACTTTGATGTGCTTTCGAACTGCTAGGTTGGCAGGAGCAGGGACCGAGCAACGGGAGCTCACCCCATCGTGGGGATTCGAACCGCCGACCTTCTGATTAGCTCTGGGTCCTAGGCTCTGTGGTTTAACCCACAGCACCACCCTCGTCCCTTACCTTGCTTACAGGCTTGCTAAAACCCTTGTAACACAGAGGGTGGTTGCTTTGTCCAAGGGGAAGAGAAGAAAACACACACAAGCACATGCATGTGCACAAACACACTCCATCCTTTTATGAGTCAGTCAACAGTGCACTTCTCCTTTTGTGTGGGGAAGTGCCTTATACCAAGGGTAGACTCTTGTTCCATCTAGCTTAGTATCATCAACACTGACTGGCAGATTTCCCCCAGGATTTTCAGGTGGTGGTTTCTCCCAGCACTACCTGGACATGCCAAGAGTTGAACCCAAGGCCTTCTGCATGCAATGCAGATGCTCAATCACACCTCATGCTTTCGCTGAGATTCCTGCACTGCAGGGGGTTGGACTAGATGATCTTTGGGGTCCTTTATGATTCTATGATTCTATGAACCTGGCCTTATTTCAGACTTGGATATCCTTTTCTTTTGAGCTGGGCATGGGGATGTATGATCCACTGGGAAGCCTTCTAATTATTGCATTCTGCTTAGGTTTGCCGATGCCCTAATGGGCTAGATCGAGGCTGTGCCCAGTTGGGAATGTAAGAAAGTGAAAAGCTTCTGGGAAATGATATATAATGAGATGAAAAAGATGCTGAAATATACATTTATTAAAAAAAACCCAGAAGTATTTCTGCTTGGCATTGTAGGAGAGGATATTAATAGACAGGATAATAAACTGTTTTTATATGCAATAATGGCAGCAAGAGTACCATTGGCACAGAAATGAAAACAAGAAGAATTACCGACGAAAGAGGAATGGCAGACGAAATTAATGGACTATGCAGAATTAGACAAGATGACAGGAAGGATTCAAAACCTGCAGGACCAGAGATTCTCAGAGGATTGGAATAAATATGTGAACTATCTGGAAAGCAATTGTAACCAACAGATTACACTAGTAGGATTGCAGGAAATTTTGTAAGGAGGAATATGTGAAATATTGCAGGGAAAAGTATGAAGATAACTATTAGTGAAGGACTATTAAAAGTAATAGTGAAATTAATGAAATGCAGATTAAGTGATAAAGATTGAAAAATCTTCAGATGTGGTTGATGGAAGTCCAAAACACTGAATAAGATGAGAAAATACGTTGTATGGTTTTTGTGTTTTTTTTTGAAATTTCATGTAAAAATCAATAAAAATATATTTTTTTAAAAAAATCTGCCCAGTTTCAAGGATTTGATTTAGGACCAAAAAAGCAACTCCTAGCATGTGCTCAGCTGTTCTCCATTCGCCTCGCTCGGCCAGTTACCAGTATGTAAACGACCAACCCCATGTCGGACGCAGATATGTAATTGATTGTCTGTAATAATTCTGTCGCGCTCCGCTCTCTCTGGGTTATGGGGGTCGAATGGCTGTTGTGTCATTAAATTCTCCAGCTGATTATGGGGGTGGGATTTCCCCACCGCCCCGATCGATTCCCTCAAGGGCAGCAGCTGCAGGAGCAGCGCCGAAAACCTGTGGAGCTGTCCAAAGTCCTGAAGACGCCTGGATGCCTTAGCCAGAAGAGAGCGTGGAGCTATTTCCCGAGAGCAGCCAGTAGGGGGCAGCACTGAAACACACTCTATCCTTACCACTATTTCTGTGCTACGGTCAGTTTTATATGGGGAGCAAGAGACGCAAAGAAATGGTCATATAAATTATGTAGATAGTTGATCAAGCACCCATTTGGAGACATCACTTTTTAAAATTATTGTGGAGCCCCCACATCCTCTTTTGGTATTATCCCATTTTATCCTCACAGTGACATCTGTTTCATTCCCCTTCTTCTAAGCAGTCAACATTTCGATCAGTCAGCCCCTGGGAATTTAGCTGGATGACCCAACACTATTGCACCAGGAAGCGAAGATTTTTGTAGCATTTGTCTGGAGAAATCGTCAAAAGTTTGAATGCCTTGCCTGGGATAGGTAAGGCCTTGTGTGCCCATCAATGGTCAGTGTTAGACCAGTCCTTGGTTTATTGTAGTGCTTGAGGATAAATCAGGGCTAGCTAGCATAGTCCCCTCCAGATCTCACTGGACTACAACACCCATCATCCCTGACCATTGGTCATACTGGCTAGGGCTGATTGGCGTTGTAGTCCAAAAATATCTGGAGGATAGGACAAGCTCAGAACTATCAGAACTTCAAGGACTCTGTAAATCCTTGCTTTTTGCTCTCACCTGTCCTTCCAGGTTGCAGCACAAAGGCAATTCGATCAGAGGTAATTTCAGTGTCATTTGACCGCAGAGGGTTTTTTTTTAAATTGCAGAAGAGGGAGAACGGAAACCCAGTGCCGTTTTAGGAGGCGTAACATTTGCAGGAGAAGGCAGTGGAGCAGCCAAGCATGCGAGGCACTCAGGCAAGCGAGCGAGGGTTAAACTGGCATGATTAGGGTGACAAGAAATTAAATGGAAGCTCGTGGATCACAAATGGCCTCTCTCTTTATGACTTGCAAATTAGATGGAAATTAGAAGCGCCACAACGCAGAGATCCCCGTGCCTCTCTGCCATGGACTACTGAGCAAAAGATTGCCGGCAACTGTCTTTCATTAGGGCAACTGTCAAGGCCTGCTTTCCCCTGACCTTCACCAATGGACTGAAGCATGGATTTTTTCAATTTGTTGCCCGTGGCATCGGAGCCTGGTGAGTCGAAAAAGCCTTTGCATTTGAATGCTCCTGGAGAATGAGGTCCACATGAAGTTTGGCAAGGCATTATCCCCTAATCGCCAAGACCTAGCTTGGAAAACTGACCTCAGAGCCCCTGTAGGTTCAGGTGAAATTCATAACTCTGTGGTGAAACTCCTAGTTCAGTGCTTTGCATGCTGAAGATTGTAACTGTT